AAYKKTKTWTYRRGTSTKKYWTYGKGMYKKGYTTYKYRACKKGTTTTKGTTCTTTTYCAGATGATTATCGCAACGTTGGAGGTGATGATGTSAGCCCTGCTGGAGTAGATTCTACATTGTATTATGAAAACCCTGATAACATGATAAGCTTGCCAATTATTAAATATGAYCAGAAACAGGTTAGTGTGTTGTGGCTCTTCCCTCTCATGACGTCATGTGAGTTTTGGCGAAATGCATTATGGTATTGATCAATGCATAATGATGATATGTTGACGAGAACACTTACGAATAGCACTACACAAGAGAGGCTTGTTGTTCGCAAAAAAAGCCTGAGAGACCAGAAACACAAATGAAAAACACCAACATGCTTCCTTTGTACTTRTTTGATCAACCCCATTAACTCGCCAACGTCATTAACGGATAGACTTCTATTCTTCGTTTTCACTATACGTCACAGCGGCCATCTTGGTTGAACTTTAACAAAGGATTTCTCATTAGTATCTATTGTTCATTCCTCCAACATGGCCGCCGGTCTTTTATCTTTTGAATCTCATGGGAATGGTTGAAAACGATCAATTACAATCCACATCATATCACACACAACACTACACCGTACCACAATAGAGTGGATTTCGTATGAGTGGGACACGGTTACCGCACGGTTACCGCACAGTTACCGSACCTGGCCTGCACAATTTTGGTGAACCAATGGGGCACTAGAATTTGGTTACAGTACGATTACGGTCACAGTACAGTACCGTCCGTTTCCCACTCATACGAAATCCGCTCTAAATGACATCACACCTTACCCTCGCAACATACTGCATCACATCTATCAGCTTACAACAGCACAACTGTGSACCAWAGACATCACCGSTGATCAATGACATTGCATATGGGTATAATACGCATGTATTGAAATGATTTGTTAATTTGTAGGTATCAGCTACTGCATCCTGGGATTCATCSAGTCACGATGCCATCGAATTAACTCGGGTTACTGGATCAAATGAAAGAGTTTATCTTATAGTTAAGGTATTATATTTGGTTGATACCCTCCTACCAAACATTCACTTTTTGTATTATGTGAAAATGAAGTCCAAATCTACCGTTAATAATCGTTTTAACGATTAAAATAATAAATAAAAAAAAATTTGAAA